GAAGTGGGAAGGGGCGAAAAGGCCAGGCTGGTAACCTTTTTGGTTGATATGCCAACACCTGTACATGTTTGCTTGAGCGGGCAGAAGGAAAAAAACAACGCCACACTACTCGAGTTTCACCTTACCTCGGATCTTTGGCTTGGGGCCCCAGTTTTGAAGGTGAAGATGGGGAAGCTGTCACCCTACCTCAACCCATCTCTTGGTGGTGTGCTTCAAACAAACTGGGGTTCAAACCCCCAAACCACGAATCCAACGATAATTAAGGGGCAACTGGAAGTTTGTGGTGTCCTTGCTGGGAACTAGCGCCGTCAGTCAAGCACAAGCATAAAAGTCCACCAAAACCTTGACATGTCTCATGAATGCTTGGGCTCTGAGCAAGCCAAAAAGGACCCAAACCAAAAAGGGGTGCCGGATATGGGGAATCCGGCATTCAAAAAACAACGTGCGCAGGCCTTTTGTAGGCGTTTACCCCCTGCAAGGTTTCCCAGGTTTCCCAGATGTCCCCCGTGGAAACATCAGCGCCTGTGGGAACAAAACCGATGTCGTCACGATATACGATTTTGCTTTACATCGGATTTCCTTGGGGCATCTTAGGGCACTTTCTCAGCCCATTTATTTGCTCTTAAACACCAGCCAACCAAAGAGAAGACACCTGAGGGTTGCTCAAAACAACTACAAGGGGAGCATAGGGGCACTGTTCCTGTGAGGTCGTGAGCATGGTTCACCACAAAGATCCCTGGCAAAGCCATGCAAAATGACGAGAAGTAATGAATAAGCAAGCGGAATACAATCAACATGCTGCGTGCCAACAACGAACAATAACTTAAAAACATGCATGTGGTCGTTGAGGATGTTCTTTCAAAAGGCTGGTAAACGCGTTTGGCTGACAATGGCCTAGGCCAACACACAAATTGATCAGACTTGTCCAAAGCATTCAAATGGTGCAATCTGAAACAGCAAGAGTCACTCTTCGTAACCCCGGGGGAACCCCCCAACAGCATGGGAACGGGCGCAGAATAAATGGTCTACATGGCGGCTGCAAGGTTACGAGTTTTTCGGGCTGCCCTCAAGCGACAGTTTGGTGCTTTTGTTAGTTCCGAAAAAACGAATGAGACCCCTGTTCTGTTGTGACATGTTTTGGGAAGCAAAGGGCAGCCATGAAGCCAAGGCACAGGGGTATTGAAAATGAGGGCGTGACCCCCGCCATTTTGGAGACTTTCGCAGGAAAGGGTTCCCTCAAAACGACCAATCAATGAGGGCTGACGGAAAGCTTCAGGTATGGCACCGCTGAGAGTCTTGCCATACCCTAGAAACTCCGCTCCAGGGTTACCAATGCTAAAAGGAGGCGGTTTTGGTTGAGGGCCCCTTCTTGCCTTTGCTGTTCCTTAAATGCAACCAAAAGGAAACCCCAGCATATTAGTTTTTTGTTTAAAAAAAAAAACGTGATTTAGTTCCTTGTTTATTTATTTATTTATTTATTTGGGGGGGCCCTAAACACAGGCACGCCTCCATGTTTATTGACACCAAAAAAAAATGCGGTTCCGGGGGCGCCTTCTTCTCGGGGAAGGAGGCGCAGCACTCGTGGAAGCCGCCGTCCAGGGCCTGGGAGATCAGGTCCTCGGCGACTCTCAACGCCCCCGCGGGGTGGGTGGTGGGAAGTGGGTGGGTTTTTGGGGGGTGTGGTGGAGTGGATGACATGCTACCGGAATTCCCCAGCTCCAGTTTTCGAATCTTCCCAAGGAAAATGGTGGATGGTCGGTGGATGTTGGGGGGTGGCCTTTTCTGAAATGAACCATCCCCCAAACAGTGGAAAAAGGCAAACCACGTGTTGGGGGTGCTTGGGCGTCTGTAGGGTCGCAATGAAAACCTGGTAAAAATGCATACCCAACACCAGGCGGGGGGAACCGAAAAAGCGGATATTCGCCCGAGAAAAGAAAGGCTGGCACTGGCCTTTACCTCCCTGCGCAGGAAATTCTCCAGGAGGGTTTCTTCAGAAACTCTCGACGGACACCTGTACAAAATTGAGCGACCCCTGCCACCGCGCTGTAAGTTTTTTAAAGCTCCACCAACCTCAAGTGGCCCTAAGTGGGGGGATTCACAACTTCATAAACCTTGCCCCTCGCCAAGAAGTTATTAACTTTTCGGAAGTGTGCGATGGGAAACAGAACCTTCCCACATGTTCAGACACCGGTTTACCCAAATGGTCGACCAAGCTCTTCGCAAGAACCGCGCATTGCAACAGCTGTGCCTTCCAGGATTGCACGATCCACCAGCTGTGGGGTTGCTTTTCCATGTTTATCTCCGGTGCCGTAGATCCCCAGCAAAAAGTTCAACTTTTTGCTGGTTAAGAGGAAATATGAGGGGAAGCCGAAAAGTTAAAAAGTCTAAAGATCCAGCAACAGCAGGAAAAAGCCAACAATACAGGTTTAGATTAACCTTCTCCAACGGACAATCCGTTCCAGGAAACAATCAGTCTATATCAGTCTTCTGGTTTGGGTGCAGTAGAGTTACGGTTGGCTTCAGCTTGCTTTGCAAACATGCGGGACCGGCTTCCAGGGTCCTATGGGCTGCCTGACTGGCTTGATCAAAAGGTGCGATGAACATGGGGTGGTCAGGGAAACCACCGAAAAAGATGCGACTTTCACCACCTGTGGTCGTGCAGGGGCCAGGGATAGTTTTCAACCCCCACGTCTTTACAAGAAAGCTCTGGGTGCGAGGTCAGCCTCTGCCAGAAAAGCGCGCGGACGGAAATAGCGCCGGGCGTCAGAGTTGATCTCGAAATGGTCGTCGAAGACTTTGTCAAAGGCGGTGACACCTAGCCCCGTGTTCCTATGCTCAAAGTTTCCCCGCATAGGCCAGACCCCGCCGCAAATATACGGCTAGCGCAGCAGGCATCGGAGTAACCAATTTCCTCCTTTACAATCTCTATAGCTCCACGCATTGCTAGACCCTGGAATCAAATGTTCCTTCTTCTGGCGTCTCTTCTTTGAAGCCACCACGCAAAGGCAGCATGGGTATCACTTGTCCCTGGAACGATTCGGCAGACATCATGTACTACCGCTTTACGCAACCACCAACTATTTTGGGAGGCGTCCCAACCGTCCAAACATAAATGCCTAACCGGTCTCACTTTCCTGCGAAACAAGAACAGGCTGAAGGGGGGAGCGGTCCAAAACCTCACTTTGAAGGCAGGCTGCAAGCCCACACCCAAAAGACTGCAACACATTTTGCCCACCCCCCAACCCTGCGGCCCACAACCATGTCGCCTTTTGGCAAATCAATGACATTCGCCAATGACTAGAACCCGGCTGAAACCGGTGAAATCCAACAATCTATTGCCAACCAATCCCCCCCCCACAAAAAAACAAGGCCGAGCCATAACAAAAGCAAACAACCCAAGGACAAAACCCATTCCCCAGGCCCCCAATACCCCCAATACCCCAACCCGCCCAACCCGCCCAATCCGCCTAGGCCGTCCTCCAGCACACCCAGCTTCCATTCCGCCGAGGGTGGGCGGCTGCCGCTCCATTGGCGGACCTCCGGCATAGCGCCTCATGGGCTTCGAGCCGCCGCTAAGCGACGACTCCGCCAAGTGGTTCTGTTGTCCGGTGAGGTAGTGGTTCCTTACCAAAAAAAAGATGTTGAATCAGTTGGTAAAAACTTTGCAACATGAGGGTTCCTTACCTCTGCGCTTTGTCCCAGATAGAAGATGTTGCATGAGTTGATAAAAAAAAATGCAACATGAGTTCCAATGAGACCTCGGGATTTACCTTGGTGAGCGGGACGGGATATGGGATGGTCATTTGGCTTGCATGCGTTTTGGGTGTTCCCACTTCATCCAATCCAATGGGCACAAACAAGTCAGTTTGCTGCTGCCATCCAAACGGGTACTTTACTTTACCCGTCGTAGCTGCTTTCACTGGTCGATCGCACGTCGGAAGACCCTTAAGGGGTGAACCTGTTAGGCCCGGGCCAAAGCGCCCGACTTCGATTCGGGGGGGGGGGGGGCTGGATTTGTAGGCTGCCGTGTTGGACAAACGCCCGGAAGAATCCGCCCCCAAAAAGATCCCCGGAACTTTCGGTGGCCTAACCAGTTCCTTCCTCCTTCGCTGGGCCTTTCGCTGGGCGCCCCTGAGCCGAAGGAGAGAAAAAGGAAAGGCGGCCGGCCAGTCTGCGAGTGCGAGCGAAAGCTGTGCCTCACACGGTGGATGGTGGCGAAATCCAGTTCGCACCACCTAAGAAGCCCTGGAATGATGATTCCCCAGATACCGACAATCATAGGTGTTCCATGGTTTCAAAGTGGTGCAGGATTTCGTCCACCCACAGTAGGGGAATACCATGACGACCCACATTGATAACATGGGCTTCGCACCCATGTGGGGTCTCAAACCACCATTCGATAGAGACGCTGCATTTGCAGAAGGCAACCTTTTTGGATTTCCTGTTGGCTGATGTTTGTGTTGGCACTGCTTGGCACTCCTCCACCTTAGCTGCCCTGTGGTTTGCCTTGTGCTCTCTCTTGCCCAGCAGCATACCTTGTTGACAGGGGGCCAGGGCCAGTCCGCTTGAAGGGTGGAATCCACTGAACAACTGCTTGCCGTTTCCCTTGCGGCTTCGGGTGCCACACTCTTGCGGTTGCAAGGCAAGGGCTCAAAACCTGATGGGCCCACCTGCGAAAGCTCCAAATGTCTGGCGTATAGCACCCGAGCCGGCAATCCTGGGCGAATCCTTCATGAAAACAGCTGTCGGCCTGGGCACACGGCCTTGCCGCTTTGATCCTGTTCTCAGTATGTGGGAATGAACCCTGGAGATTCTCTTACAGTAAAGCAAATTACTAGTTGGATGGTTTACAGGGGTCATTCCCTCATTCCCTGCTGAGCACCGACAAGTCATGTGATACCAAAGTGGGCCATCCCCACAGCGAGTTTAGCACATTGAAGAGAAAAAGCCTTGGAATCCTCGCGAAAAAACGCCTCCAGCCCGGGCACTGAGCGAAGGGCGCTCTCTGCTGCAGACCTCACAGCAAGTGGACGCGGCCTTGCGCACCAAAGCCAAAAAGGCAGGGTACTTTGTAAGTGGCTGGTAGCTATGGTTGCATGCCATGGTTGTAAGTCTCCTACGTCTTGGGCGCAAGTGAGCTACAAACGTTGTTGGCAACCATGCCAAAACTCTGCCCCTTCAAGTTACATACCCCTGAATGGCACTACCCTGCCACCAATGGATTAGAAGGTTGGTGCCCAGGAAGCTATCCTTCCCAAACGGACAGCTGCTTGTCCAAAAGAGGCCTATGCGCTTCCATGTTTGCTGTGGAAAGGTAAGGCGCATGGCAGACTGGTTTGTGTGGTGCCCCGGGTTGCGCACACATATGTAGGTGAATAGAGATGTGCATCTGTTTATGCATTTGTTCATGCATATTTGCACACATGCGGGGGGGTCTTAAGCATCTCATCAAATGCTCGGTTGCTTTCTGCTCCCCTGCTAAAACAATATTTTTGTGGTTTAATGAAAAACCCATTAGTTGGTAAAAAGTTAAAGTCCTAACATCCATGCAAAAGGCACCTCTGAAATGTCCCTGTCCGGTGTCCTTTCAAAATAATTACCCTTTCACAGTACTTTGATTGAGCTTCCAAAAGAGCCAACCTGGGCACCTTGCCGAAGCCCCAAAAAGGTCCACCAAAGGGACATCTAAGGTGGCAGGCGGCCACACGCACTGATTCCCTGCTGGTCAGAAGGGCGAAGCAAAACCATAAGGACGAAACAACTGCAAAAGTTAGTTATAAGTCTGGCCAGATGAGCAGCATGGACTGCCTCAAATGCGCGATTCTGAATGTTTGGGGGGGCAGGGGTTCGTCCGTCAAATATTTTCGTTTGGGTGTTCCGATTGATGACCCGAGTCGACAACAAAAAAGGCTCACACGTTTGGGGCCCTAGCATGAAGAGACCTACCAACCAAAAAGTTACAAGCGTAAAGTGTGTCAAAGACCACCCTGCCAGCTACCATTGGTCTTCTAGGTCCTCCAGTAGCGAGGATAGAATAAGGGTACCCTTTTTCTGTGGTCTATTCTAGTAGGGGAACCCTCCCCCAAAACCCCAAACCAGGGGAGAGAAGAGCACTACTGGGGAAACCTAGTGTTTGTCCTATCCTGGGGTCTGTTCCAGGGGTCTGGTGGTACCCTTGGCGTCGCCAACGCGAAACGGCGAGGCTGCGGCTGCGCCGCCCGCTCGCCCCGCAGCCGCTCCTCGCATTCCTGAAGCCACGGGTCGAGCCCAGAATAAACCGCCTGGGGGGGGGGGGGTTCGACCCAGCCTCCACGACTCCAGTTGCTTAAGTCCTCTGGGAAAAATGTGGGTCCCCTGGAATGGCTTGGGTAACCACTCCTTTGAGCCAACCTAGCGATTCGTTCCCATCTTCTGTGTCAAAATGAAGGGGCCGGGGTCGATTTGGGTGTGGGTCAAAGCAATACGGCGAGACACCAGCGCCTGACGCATGTCAGGTGTGTCTCCCCCCCCCTCCACTTGGTACTTGGTGGTTGGCCCTAGCCTCCCCAGGTGTTTTCCTGGGGTAGTGGGAGGTTTTAGATATTGTGGGCCCTTGTGGTTGGTATTTACAAGGCGAAGAAAAAAAAGAAAAAAGGTCCCTGATTTTCAGAAACACCTCAAAGGGCTCTCCAGGGAATACCTTTGGCCCCCGAAAAGGATGCCCCTAGTGTAGCACACCTCTTGGGCATCCTTCGCGGGTCTTCCATCTTCTATTGCGCCGCTAGGCGGACTGCCAAGGCTACAAACCATCTCAGTCATTTCGACGGAGCCCCGATGGGAACCAAACAAGCAGAAACGTTGGCGAACATGATACGCAACGGCATGTGTCACTGCTACAGCATATGCACTCACATATGCGCGCATGTGTGTGTGTGTTCACATGTTCAAGCTTCGAGCATGTCTTTCGCACGTATCTCGCAAAAGGCCCAGCAGGGCCCCTTCCGCCCAGTCTGCCGCCTGCTGCGTGGCTTCGGCCTGGCGCCTGCAGCCAGCCCACCAGCCAGCAAGCGAGCAAGTGAAGAAAACAAAAAGCAAAACAATGCAAAAAAAAACTGGACTTTGTTTTAAAAAATGTACCCGACAAACATGTTCTTGGTGTCCTGTGCATCATGCGCTCAGTGTTTCTATTTGCTAACAAGACACAACTATGGACGCGTCTAATGAGGTCCATGCTTGTATCTGAGTCTTGCGGAGCATATCTACAGGGTTGAAAGAAAAACCGTGTGAGAGATGAGGGGAGGATAAGCAATTCAGACGAGACAAAGGCTGAGAGACCGCGAGTAAGGCTCGAGTTGGGGTTGGCCGGCTGACCGTGAGGGAAGAAACAAACAGTTTTGGGTCTGTCTCAAAATAGGGGACCCCTGAGAATGGATGGTTCCTGTTGGTTTCCCTTTACAACCATCCAAAAAACAAGGTGCCCACAAAACATATACTCCCTTTTGAAGGTGAGTGAACAGTTGGAAGGTTCAATTCCACTTCCCCCTCCAGGGGGGGCTCCCAAAGAACAAGTGATGTATGGCTTGCTTGAATGGCGTTGGAAGCACTGGTGTCCTTTTGGAAAAATAGATGGCCCTGGTAAATGGAACAAAACCCATCTTAACCAGTGCCTTCTATTTTTGACCACCCTAACCTAAAAAGGACACCTATGGTTGGAAGACTGAGTCGAGTTGATTTCCCCTCTCTCTCCGCTGCTTCTTTCAGCATCTCTCGGGCCCTCTTTCTCGGGCCATGCTGGATGCTCGCTGGCTTTTGCAACGCAGTCCTAGGCTTTCTCCACTGCTGCGCACTCACCGGAGGACTCCTGCAGAGGCCTGCAGGGAACAAGCCCTCAACCCCATTCAACCCCCCTCTCATCGAACGGCCGGAACCTTTCTGAGGGGTGTTCTCTCCTTGGGTGCTTCGCACCAAGGAGGAAACCACCCTTGGCCGACCTTTTGAAGGGAAGCGCAGCATCGAGACGCGCTTCATGAAAACAAATGATGCGTCATGCCATTGGCTCTTCCCATATGATTGCCGTCTGAATCCTGATCAAAGGGTCCAGAAGCCACATCCCTAACAATCCTAAGAGAAGGGATGCTTTGAAAGTTGGAGTTCGGGAAGGCCTAGTCGTATTGCGGAAGCGTCCTGCACAGGTTTTGTCATATGTGAAAAAAGGCATAGGCGCCATGCTTGTCGTTTATAGCTGAGTGCTAATTCCCATACAGCAATCAGAAGATGGATTCTGTCCAGACCCACTTGCCCTATATAGGTTGGTTCATCCACCCCTGGGGGGCGGGGGGGGGGGGGGCAAACGGCAGGCTCATCGCCGTTCCTTGCCCCTTATGGTTGTGAACGGGGATGGACAAAGGTCACAAGAGCTTTGGTCCGCAAATTCGAAGCGGAGGTCGCCGCTCCTGAAAGACTGCTGCAGGTGGAGGCCAAACTCATCCAGCCTCGGCCAAGGAAAATCGAGCGTTCTGCCATGCCGATTCCCGCGATGAACATGTTTCTTCTCACTTTGGCATCTTGGCATCATCGCTCACATCTCATCCATGCCCGAAAGCAGCAGTGGTGGACTTGCGCAGGCACGTAGGAACGAAAATGGACCCTGGCTCGGAGTCCATGTTGCAAGTCTTCCAGCACAAAGGGAAGTGAGATGACGGAAATGGAAGCAACTTCCATTCGGGGTGGGCCGGGGGGTGGGGCGGGCCTGTCTCAGCTTGCGGGGTTCCCATAAGGTGCAGCATCACTAGGAATTTGGGTTGCCGTGTCCTGGCGATGTTCCATAGGAACAAGGCGTGCTTGGCACCAAAAGTGTCTCAAAAACCGCTGCTCTCCGGAAAAAAGCCAAACTCATATCTGCCGCCGGATGCTTCGAGGCGAACGGAGCCCTAAAGATTTCCAGAAACGACACCTACCAATTCGGTCACGCTCCTTTGAACTCCGACCCCTGTGCGTCTATACTGTTCCCTAAACTTTGCGAAGGCTTCACGCCCAAATTCGCCTGCATATGAAGCTTGTCAAATGCCATAGATCTTTTTGATCGAAGGGCAAGTTTCCAAAGCTGGTTAGGCAGAGGCTGTTTTGTGGGGGCGCGAGGGACTGGGTGGCAAACGGCAACCGCCAAGGCCCAGGCTTCCTCAAGATCTCATTGACGCATTGCACCTGCCGTGCAGTCCCACCCCCCCGCCACACGAAGAAGTAAAAAGAGGAGCGCTAGAACAAGGCGCAACAACTGGGACCAAGGTCGTCCCCTGCGAATAAAAGAAGAAGCAAATAGCACCGAGGCCGCTCCCAACCACTCCAAAGATCTCCGGAGCCTACTTGGGCAGACACCCAGCAGCACAAAGGAACCCCAAGAAAAGAGTGTTGCCAAGGAGGATTTGCAGAAAAGCGCTTCTCAACAAGACACCCTAGGGTTCACACAGCTCCAAGATTTCCAGACTCCAATTGGCCAGGCCCGAGGCAAATCCTCCGTGCCCTTTGGTTCTGGTTGCGAAGGAAGCCATTGCGCCGACATCATGCATTGTACACACGTGTTCATGTGCATATTTTTTTATATATTTTTTCCGTGTGCACATGCACATGTAAGCACATGTAAGCACACATGTTTCTGTGAGCACATGTACATCTGCATGAGCGTACAATCACATAAGATACAGATATGCTTAGAGCATCCGCATGAGTGAAGATGCATACGTATACATGTATTGGAAATACGTGTATATATATAATATACATATATATATATATAGATAATATATCATGCATGTGTATACATACATATATATATATATATTTCTATATGTGTGTGTGTATTGTGTGCATGCATGCGTGCATTCAGCGTGCCGGCGCATTTACGCATATGCGTGCATGTGTTCATGCGTGTACGCATTGCATACACGTATCTTTGCAATGCATTGCCGGTTGTTCCAAGATGCTGCTGCCTCTCCATAATCGAAAAGCTGGAAACAACCAAAGGCTCAAGCATATGGAAGAGCGGGCTGGTGCCGCCACTTAAGAGGAGGCTTGCCAGTGGATGTCTCAAGACGCTGCAAGTGCTACAGTAGGCCGGCTGGGTGCCTCCACTTGCACATACACAGGAACAATCCCAGGATTCCTCCGTGTCCCTGCTGAGCTTGCACGCTGAGATGCTAGGGGGGACGTGAAGGGTTGGCCGCAATGCCAATTGCAGGCCATCCCTTCCTTCCTTCCTTCCTTCCTTCCTCCTTCCTTCCTTCCTTCCTTCGTCCCTGGGCAAAAACTGAATCTCTTCCCTCCACCATGACAACGGCTCCGTCACTCTCCGAAGCAACCGTGCCCAAGCAGCCACTGAGAGCTTGTCCGTGCGCACATGCACCTCCGCGTGCTCCGGCCTTGGCACGTGGGTACTCCCTACCTTGACGGGGGTGGGGGCCTGGCGCGCCAATGGCATTTTCATACGTCTGCCCCATAAAAGAATCATAAGAGGGGAAAATGCTCGCTGGCGCAGAAGAGCACTGGGCCAAGCAAGAAAAAACAGCACGGATCATCGACCTGCAGAAATAAAACCCAAAAACAAACCTTTTCTGTGAGATGCGTCCCTGGGAGGTGTTCAACTTTGCCTCCCCTCTGCGACATGGCCGCGTTGCTCCAGACACGAGCGGCAGCTTGAGCTTTTGGGCTGGGGAGTTTGAAGCTGGCTCCCTTGAGCCAGCCATTTCGCGCATTGGCCCGTCAACCAAACTTGCCAACGCGGATGACTCGGCTTCAGCAGATGACTCAATTTGCCCAAGAGCAAAAACCAGAAAGGAAATAGAGGGCCTGTTAGATTTCCAGACCCACCCCTATCCGTTTAGCACCCAGTTTGCACACAGGGATTGGCATCATAGAATATTGTCCAGTGCCATCCCCCTTTGAGGAGGATGGCCGGCAGGGCTATTTAGCACCCAGCCTCCAAAACATGCCATGTATCCCCCCTCCTTTGTACCATCACTTGGGTGCTGGCACATTGACAATGTCCTAGCTTCTTGCCTCTTCATAGTTCAAACAAATTCTGTGTGTCGCGAGTTTATGACATTCCCCAGCATTTGTCACTTCAAAAGGGATCCGTTTTCTATCCCTCACAACCTCAGGGGGAGGGGGGTGGAGGGCCCTCCGCTATTGATCCATCCTTCGCCCTGCAGAGATGGATGGCATGCCAACCAGTGCACCCGTTCAAACCGTCCGGGAGAAACCTCAGGGAGGCTGCTATCGAGGAGGGTAGCATTTCGATCACCCAGTGAGAGCCACCTAGTACAAGTCTTCGAGGGGGGTGGTGCTTTTAGTCTGTTGACTCAGTGAGAGGCCAGGACTCGTGACTGCGGAGGCGTGCATGCCGCATGCCACCACTCTTCGGTGGAGAAGTGCGTGTCACCCATGCCCTCAAAGGCTGAATGTCATGGGTTCATATATGGACCTATACAATCAGCCTTTGATACCCAGACCCCAGGCTTGACTTTAAAGGAGAATAATAAGCGGCTCCATATCTCCCGAAACCAAAACTCAAACTTCTGGTTGGCCCTGATCCATCCTGAGGCCTCTTGTCCACTTCCATTGCAAAACGAGGTACAATCTAAGCCCAGGGTTCCATTTTCAGATCAGGTAGAGCAGGTAGAGCAGGTACATCGGTGCCCGCTTTGGGGAAATCAACTGGGTAATTTCAACAAATAAAACCCCACAAGCCGCTGTCCTTTCCAGAGGGGTGCAAGAAACCTTTCCCCGACCTCGTCCTGGTTTAGCACCCGTATCCAAGCCCTACCCGCCCCCTCCCTCGGCCGCGGGCTTCTCATAGGGCGCGTCGATTCCGGTGAAGCCCTTGATCTTGCCCTCCCGAGCCTTCCTTAGGAGAGCTCGATCTAAGATGAGCAGTTCAGATCCCTCTGAGAGCATACATTTAGCATGTGGCTGTGGGTCCAAAGTGGATACCCAAAAATCCGCACCCTGGCAAATAGAACCAAGGACTAAAACCTGCGGCCCCCTGGT